GAAAACTTTGATATTTTCATTGTGTTTATATATACTTTAAAGAGAACTAATTAAAAAAATGAAGATCGAAGATGATGCACCTTTAGGCTTTTGAAGAAAAAATTGAAGTTTGACGCAAATTAACCAAATTAACTAGGCCTAATAAATTACAAGGGGCGGCAGATTTGGATGGTTGCAAGCCTAATATTTTTTCACACATCAGAAGATCATTAGTTGTTTTGGAAAATGCTTAGCAGCAAAGTGATTCGGAAATGAAGACTCATTCTAGGTTTTATCAACACCTTGATTTTACCTTCTTAATTTCCAAGGTGGAGTTCAGATCACCAAGATTTTCACAACCGTTCAACAAATATGCATACAAAAATATCATTCCACGTATCATTTAGTCCCGGTAAGTAAGCACCAGTGAAAACAATCAATAAAATTTTCAAGATAAGATCTCTATTCCTTGTCAAGAGTTTGCCCTTCCATTCACCATAAACAGATATGAGCATCTTTCTAATTTTCTGACAATTGTGTAACTTTCAAAACTATGGTGGTTGATCTTTCGTTTTTGTAAGATGTTGCAAACTATCTCCATGATGGCAAGACCAGATCCAATTCCCCAGTATGATGCTTCTTGGATTGGATAGGTATTCACCGAAGCAGTCTCATTACCGCCTGGCTTCCATCCATCCCCTTTGATGTATGCTACAGTAGCAGCTGTGACATTCCAGAAAAAGCACAACCAATCCTGCATAAGGAAGAAATATACATTTACCATTCATAACATATATTAATATAGATACTGATAAGCATAACGTCATGTATAACATCATGTATATAATTGAATGCATTTAGTCAATAAATATAATATACTGAAAATGATAAAGCTTGCATACCTAAGAATAATGAAAAGGTAATGTACATCAACTTTTCTAGATAAATCAGTATATCATTATGAACAACTGAGGCAAATGGTGGTCGATCTGCAAAACAAAAAATAAAAAATTCTAGACTGTCATGGCATGAATGAAAGGCTAATAGACCATCAAAGGCAACAGAAACAAACCACTACGTGGATATGATGAGTAATCAACAAAACATAACATCAAATGCAAGTTACCTCTTGCTAAAGCCTCTATTTTGCTTCACTTCCTGTGCCGTATGTTCCAAAGAAAACATGAGTGAAAATTGTAAAAGTCTACGTGTCAATTTAGTCTCCTTGATATACCTCCTACTGCTGATTAAATTCAACTTCCATGACCAATCCCCCTATCTTTGCTTTGCAATTCCCAAGATAATTTGAACATTCTAAATCAAAAAACCATAATCACCGCTCAATTTCATAGAACAAGAGGGAAGTAGCATGCATGTAGATGGACTAAGGTAAATACACTAACCTTAGTGGGTCTAGTAACTGTAGCAAGAGATATCATGAATTGCATCATCACAAACATAGTTGAGAGCAACTGGTTCAGGGGGAAGAGGTGAAGGCATTGAAGGGTTCTACAAATTCACAATCATTGATCAGTGGTCAGAATCATATCATTAAATACATATATATATATATATATATATCTGATTTTTGTTCTCAATAGAAAACACCTTTCACTATTTGTGCTTCTTTGCTGTCAACTGAAGTTTCTTTCCATAACAATTTTTGGTAGGTTCATAGAAAGAAAACTTGATGGCATCTTCAAACTTGTCTTCGCCCCACAAATCGAAAACCATCCCCATTTTCCCACTAACTTTACCATTAGAATCTCTCTTCACCATTGAAATTAACATCATCAACATTATCACCAACTTCCCCATCTTCAACCTCTTCATGAGCATAAATCCATGCATCTGCAACAAGTAAAATGAAAGAAAGAAGAAATATGCTAGTTAAGAGCATAAAATGTAGCTCCATAGAAAGAAAAGGTTTAACTATTGGAAGCACTCCAGTAATGTGTATGTAAGAAACAATTTAGGCATTGAAGCAACCAAAACCCAAGGAAACGAAGACCTTGAGCTTGAGCTAATTGACTCAACTATCAAAAGGTGCTTAATTTAAAATATACCTAGAAACCAATTTATAAAGAAAATGTATAGGTCACAAAAATGCAATAAAACCCAAAATTAAGAAAAAAAATGAAGAAAGTGAAATGGAATAATAAAAGAAAAATGGTGTCTCATCCATAGATATTAACCAATCTTATCATCCACAATTCTGCTAAACTTACTTTTTGAAAAATTTGGCCTACTTAATACAATTACCATCAAATAACCAACCAATAAAACTCTAGGGAACAAGCAAAAGAAAAAATGAAGAGAATGAAATGCAGTAAACAAGTCAAAATATACTTACCAGGAATTCATGAGAGCTGAGCAATTATTTTAAAGCTATAATCTTCCACCATGCCCTGCCTTTTCTGTTTTGATGATTCCTAAATCGAACACTCTTTACCGTTCACTTCAAACCACAACAATTATTTCCTTCTTAGCAACCAAAAAACTCTAAGATTGCAAATGTTATAAAGAAAATGAAATAAAATAAATATGGTTTTCTAGGTTGGAAAAAAACCTACAAAAGTGAAACAAGGCCGACGATGAAGGGCTGCCAGAGTGTGCTTCAATTCAATGCTCAAGTCAGCAAAGCAAAGGGAATTTGAAATTACAAAAATATATCAAACACAAAAGGAATTACAAAAATTACATTTCAAATTGATAAGAGAGTCACATTATATCAATCAAATAGAGTAAAAATCCCATAACACAACATGCTTGACAACTTAATTACAACACAAAACAAATTACCAAATGAAATCGCACAAAACCAAATCCATCCAATAAATAAAAGACATAAATTGAAACAAAAACAAGAATATCGTCAATCAAATCTGGCCCTACCTGAGTCTCATTTTTCTTTTGCTTTGCTGCTCCACCAAGAGAAGTTGCCTTTGCTTGATAAGAGACCCTATATGCAATATCTAAGCTTTAAAATATGCCAGAATTTGCAAACAAAAGACCAACAAATCAATCCTAAGAAAAACTATAGGAATTGAAAATATGAGTGATGCAGTTTGATTCCATGGTATCAAACTAGTTTGCAAGATGTTGAGAAATATCAGTATATCATAAATATACAAAAAAAATATATATAAAAAGAGAAAAAAAAGAAATAATAATGTTCCAACCCTGATTTTATTAGTTGATCATATTTTCCTAAATTTTTAGGATGCTTTGTTGAAACTATATTATTCGACGATCAAAAAGGCTCAATTTTCGCCACATAACCCAAAAACCAAGGAAGAGAGTAAAATAGCAAAATTGTGAACTCGAAAACAACAAAATTCTAAAGAAAAATCAACGTGGGAATAGTAAAATCACAACTTACATCGTTGGAGTTGATGAGACATAACAGCAGAGGGTGGATGCATCTCAATCTCATCTCTTCCAAAATACCACCTCCAACATCAGCTCTCCCGTCATGTGTTGTATATGAAAGGCTTTTACTGCCACGTGTTATTGGGGTTGCACGTGACTTATTATTTACACACATCTACTGGTCTATGGTTTTCTGAACAAAATTGAAGATTTCAAGAAATTTTGAAATCAAATTTTGAGATGAGATAACAAAAATTTTGAGCAACTAAACTGTCAAATTCAAATTAGAATAAATCGATTATCACCTCACCATAATATTTGAAGAAAGGGTTGGAGTATGTTCTTAGCGTTAGGATGATCCCACTCCACTGATTCCCACCATTCTTTGTCCTCTTCATTAATGTAGATTTCTTTGAGATGAGGAGGAGATGGTTGGCCATTATCAAGCAGGTGAAGCTGCACAGGGATCCTCTTTAACTCAGGACATTTCCTTATCAAAATGGATTTAATAGAATCGCAAACCATAACTCCTTTGGCATTACAGATGCTCTTCAATTGGGGTAACCACTGCAACTTCAAGTGACTTAATTTCGGAAAAGTGAAACTGAATTTATCCGATGATGCATCTGAATCTGATGAGGCTATTATCTCCTCCATTTGTTCACAGCCATCAACTTCAATCATCTCTAAGTTTTGGAAGGCCTGCAGTAGCTCAAGTGGAAGCAACTTCCTCATTCCTGAACATTTCCTTATATAAAGTGTCTTAAGATTGGAAAAGACACGTGGCGGTGTTGCTACTCCTTCCACTCTCACGAGTGCCCACAACCTAGGCAAATCCCAAAGACACAGCTTTTCAAGCTTATCAAGTACTGGTTTACACGATGAGGAAAAGGATGAATCCAACTCAACCACGTACTCTGTCTCTTCACAATCACTAATAATACAACCACCCAACTCGGTTGCATTCTCTAACAAAGCTGTCTTGTTGAAGCTGCTTCTGAGGTTTTTACATTTATGGATCCGCAAATGCCTAAGTTTATCTGGAAGCACTATACATTCTTCTCTAATGTCACACTCACTAATTATAAGTACACATTTATGTTTAGGATTATAATAATCCATACCAAGGTCCATTTTTGTTCCCACACGAAGCTCGTAAACAATAAAACTCTGAAAATTTTTAAACTCCCTCATAAGATAATTGAAGTCTTGCATGTCTTCAACATTACATTGCATAATCTCCAACTTTCTCAATTTAGCAACCTCTTCTGAGTTTATCATTACAATAGGTCCCCCTTGGTTTGTTCCCCTTATGTTTGTTACCACCAAATACTGGAGACTAGATAATTTAGACAATATTCCTGTTGGAAACTCTTTCAATTTTGTAGACCATAAATTAAGATATTCAAGACCTACTAACATCTCCATGCCTTGAGGGACCACCTCAATTCCTACCCATTCCAGATCTAACTTCTTCAGTGCCACAAGCTTCTCCAAGGAAGGCAAGCACTTTAACTTTTCGCACCCCTTTAACCGCAATGCAGAGAGATACTTCAGCTTAGAGATGGAACTAGGTAAAGTTTTAACACGAGTTCTAGAAAGATCAAGAACCTTGAGTTGACTCATATCCTCAAAAAAAGATTCTGGAATCTCTTTCAAAGGATTGTTGGATAATATCAAAGTTGACAATGTTGGACACTTTGGAGGCAATCCAATCGAAATTTTTGAAATGTCATTTGCCGTTAGAGATACCTTATTAAGATCTCTAGCCCACTCATGTTCATTTGGTACATTTGTCAATTTCATACCAGTTTTTACCATATATCCAACTCCAGGACCAATGCTTCTAATAGCCATGTCTCTCACAACATCATGCATCTTAATTGACGTCTCGAAATGTTTCTCTAACAAGCTATTCTTTTCAAGAACATCTAAAAAGGCATGGCCCTTGTCATAAGCTGCTTCCCTGCTTCTCAATCCATCCATTAGTCCTTCATCAATCCAACCTTCTATCAATTCCTCCCTTTGAAATGAATAATCTTCGCGAAACAAAGAGCAATAAAGAAAACAATTCTTGATTTTCTCATCAGGCAAACGATCAAAACTAAATTTTAACCGCATAAATATCTCGTCTTCTGAACCTTTCACACTCTTAACACATTCTTGTAATTCAGTCAGTGCATTTCTCCACACCTTAATATCATCCACTCCTTTCATGCTCCCTGCTATCACAACAATAGCGAGTGGTAAACCAGCACACTCCTTCACAATAATCTGCAAGATTTTTTCCAGCCCAGAAATTTGTAAAACATCATGCCCAACCTGATTGAGGAATAGAGTTAGAGACTCCTCTTGTGAAAGAGGTTGCACTTTGACAATCTTACAATCTAAATAACTGCATACGTCTGTCGATCTACTAGTAATAATTACTTTGCACCCATTTTGCACCGTCGGTTCCGGAATTCCAACATCGCTGAGAGTGAACCTTTCCCATACATCATCTAATATCAACACAAATCTCACTCTTCTCATTATTTCCATTAGTGCTGCTGCTCGCATCATCACCTCTTCATCTTCTGGAAGTGTTTCTTTCATTTTACCAGCAATCTTCTTTTGTAATTCAAAAACATTGAGAGGATATGATACAGTAACCCAAATCACTTTCTGGAATCTACTCCCTGTCAACAAATCATTGTTAACATGCTTCATGATTGTAGTCTTACCGACGCCACCAATACCACAAACCCCAATCATTCCAACTTTATTGCCCATCAAGTGCTCCCAAATTTCATCTTTAGTAGAAATTTCACCCTCTAAGTTTTCTGTTGGAATTTCAATTCCACAAGCTGGAGCTCTCTCAATCCCAAGGCCTCCTTTGAAATTGCCCCTCTCTTGAATCCTCTTCACCTCTTCAATTTTTTTATGCACATCTTCATCAAGACTAGCACGTTTGTAGTATGGAACTGTGATTGCTCTTTCTTTAACATCTTGTATGTCTTGTTCCATCTTTCGAACATCTTCAAGCCATCCCTTTACTTCTTCTTTGACCACTTGGCCCGAGTGAACCTCTACTTGTATTCTTGAATTAACGTCAGTTTTTCTCCTCTTTAGAACCTGCCATTCGCTTTCTAACTCATTCAGATCTTCTTCAAGTTTTCTGTAGTGGTCTACATAATTCTCAACTTTCTCAACAATTTTGTCCATTGATGAATTTCCTAAAGTTTAACAGTAATGCCGTTAAATTTATTTCTTAATACAGAATAAAAAACATAACAAACAATGATAACTTATCCACAATTTTAAGATAAATAAAAAATGTCCAACGTATTAAACAGAGTATTAAAGAGATGTCATTTCTAATAAGTTGTTTATAAAAAAGAGCAATGCTAAGGGAACTCGCCGCCTGCACTCTCCGACCAACACTTCTCCTTTCATTGGGCCACGTAAGGTTGTTTGAGACTTGAAGTGCAACCTCTTACAAACTATAATAACGTGGCCCAATGAAAGGGTAAGTGTTGGCCGGAGAGTGTAGGAGGTGAATGCCCTTAGCACTGCTCTATAAAAAATATTAAGGTTCTATTTAAAATAGCTGTAATCTTTTGTTTTTATTTTTTTATATTTGGTAAGTTATTATAATTAAAAATAAATTTTTTTTATAAAAATTAAATTAAATTTAAATATATTTGTAGTTACTAAAAATATAAAAAATAATTAA